AACCAAACTGGTTCCTCTAAGTCAGGTTGAGTAAATTGAACAGTTTATGTGTATTCTTTGGTCAATTTACTCAACTAGACTTAGTGGAGCCAGTTGCCAGTTGAAGTTGACTTTGTTGAGTAAATTCAACTTTTTATTTTTAAAGTGCATAAACATCTTCATTCATGATGAGTTCCAACAGATTTAATTTTGTAACAAATAACTAGGTGTTACATTTTAAAGTAAAGAAGTAAAAGTATCAGTTTTAGCTTTAAAACGTAAGGAAATAAAAGTAAAAGTAGATGTTTAAAAAATAATTGGTAAAATTACAAATACTCAAAAAAACTAGTTAAGTACTGTAACGAAGTAAATGTACTTAGTTACTACAAACCTCTGATTGTTCCATACATAGTATTGTTGCGCCACTAATGTTTATTCATTTTATGGCTGCTGTTTGATTTTATTATAGCCAGATAGAGTCTGGCTGCTTTTTCCTSTCCTTCATGATCAACATCTCCTGACTGTAACATCATAATTAATGTGTATTTATAAAATATGTAATTAATCCTTATTAACAGCACAGAGTTGAGCGTCAGTTTGTGTTTGCTACATGCAGAGTGGATGGGAAGGAGATGATCAGCGTGCCGCAGCGCCGGCTCTCCTTCGACTGTAAGACCTCCAAGCCGTTGTTCTGTCAGCAGAGCAGCGTCATCAGTCACACCAGCAGTCATGAAGACATGGAGAAGGTATTCTTTTAGTTTCTCATCAGGGCTTCAAAGACTGGCCTGCAGTAAAAATAGGCAGCCAGGAGGTGGGACATAAAGAAGTAAACCCAGTTTCTGTCTGTAAAGTGTGAACCTGTTTGTTTTGTTGGAGGGAAGAGTTTCTGCATGTTCACGGCTTGTTTTGCTTCCTTCCTGTTTCCTCACGCAGGCTTCAGACAGAATCAGTGCGATCACATCGGATGAAAACCTCGCAGATCCAGTTCATGCTCAGCACTTTGCAGGTAAGAGAGGCAGCTTGGAGGGAAAGGTTTGTGAGCTCAGGGAGATCAAACCTTTTTGATCTGGTCTGAGAGGAAACATATAGACGAATTCAGAGGGAATGATGTTATAAATTCTGACATAAATTCTCCCAGAAAACAAGGAGGATATTCACTTTAATGTGTTTTACACACTGTGTGACTTTAACCTGTTCCTTAACTCGTCCTTCTCAGTGGACAGAGACTAACTTCTATTTAAAATAATATTTTATTGTTAAACTTCAGTGTTATAGTGTTGTCCAGCTCCAAAACAGAGATACTGTAATTCAAACCCCTAATCTCTGCAGAGCTGAAAACTGACAGGAAATGTTTCAGTTAACATCACATAAACACACAGCTGAAGAGCACCGGAACACTGATAAATATCAGCTCATATTTGTTTGTTTTACCAGAATGACCCCTCCCTTATTACTCATCTGCTATTCATCAACCTTTTCTCATCAGTTTCTCATATTTTATCTAATCTCTATTTTCTCATTTCTTATTTCTCATCTCTCTTTCCCTCACTTATATCTCATCTCTTTTTTCACATCTGATATTTTTCTAACCTCTTATCTCATTTCTTATTTTGCATCTCTTATCTCTCATCCATTTCTCATCTTTTATCTAATATTTTTATACTAATTTTTTCATTTATTTCTCACCTCTTATCTATTTTTCTCACCTATCTCTCATCTCCCATTTTGCATCTCTTATCTCTCATCCATTTCTCATCTTTTATCTAATATTTT